TATAAAATTACCAATAGTTAGTTTGATGTAATTAATTATTTTTACCCAATAGCATATATTGTAATTTTTTATATTTTATTTTGCTTGAGTATATTTTGTATCTATCTATACATTTATTCACTTTTTCAAAATTGAGATTTTTCTGTTATTGATATTGGTGGTGAGCCTGGATGTGATAAGTTTGTTGACCAAGGCAGCCATGGAGCAAGCACTCTTGTTAGTCAGGAATAGACTGGCTTTAGACTCCTGTCTTGGAGAACAGACCAGTATACCAATAGATAACCTGATGGAGATGCTGTCTTTTAGTATGCAAATTTAAATATTTTACTCATTTTTTTAATCATTTTTTAAATTAAATTTTAATGTTTATGATCCCATATTTTGTTTTTATTAATAATTTTATAAGAAGTAGGTATAACCTAAAATAGCCAAGTCATATATTGATCATATATATTTATATCTATATATTAATATATCAATCATCTCCCTCTCTCTCTCTCTCTTTCTCTCTGTCTCTGTCTCTGTCTCTCTCTCTCTTTATATATATATATATATATATATATATATATATATATATATATATATATATTAATCATCTATATCGATATGTTAATATATTAATCATCTATATATCTCTCTCTATATATATATATATATTAATTATCTCTCTCTCTCTCTCTCTCTCTCTCTATATATATATATATATATATATATATATATATATATATATATATATATATATATTAATCATCTATATATCTGTCTGCATACACAATTCCGGGAAAATCCTTGTTGAAAACACAACTATACTTAAACATGAAAACAATAAACAAAAACTAAAAATTCTTGAAGATATATACATAAAACAGTTGAAACCTAACCTGAACAAAATAAACTACGAAATCTCCACAAATATTCTTAAATGCCTATAATTGATAACAGAAGCCATTGGTTTATACCAACGGCTTCCCATACTTAATACTTCTCTTTTTTCACTCTCGCATGGTAATGTGTGACATTGTGAGCTGCGATGCAATTTTCATTTCCAGCGTCTCATATGTACGAGTTTGTTGTTGCTTAGAAATCATCCATGTAAACAGAAACAGACTATCATCACATTCTTGTCCATGTATTGCTTAATATATTGTACAGTAATTGTCATCTTTGATAAAACTTAGATAGGATTAAAACATGTATGTATCATACTGAAAACTTAGATAGGATTAAAACATGTATGTATCAATATTGTGATTTTCTTTCTTATTTTAATAATAAGGCTTATTAAGCTTATCAGACAATAGAAAAGAATTTACATAAAAAATATACAAAACTTGTCTATATTATATAATGAAATATGTATCAATGAAAAAATGCTGCCTAAATTCACACACAATATAGATATATTAATCATCTATATCTTTATATTAATATATTAATCATATATATCTATATCTATATCTATATCTATATATATATATATATATATATATATATATAAAATATAATTTTATATCTTGTCACTTTCAATGAAATTTGGTCTGAGTAAATTATATATAACTTGCACTCCTTGGTATTTTGAACAGGAGTAGAGGTTTATCCCTTGTTTCCTGTTTAGGATTAGTTTTCCTGTTCTTCCTCAAGTTCCTTCAACCCTATGTATCTAACATCTCAGTCTAAAACTCTGAAATTTTATTTACAATATATTTACTTTTTTTCCTCAAGAGGAATAGAAAACTTTACATATCATCTTGTTTACTGACTCCTCCGTTTTTTGAACAGGAGTAGAGGTTTATCCTTTGTTTCCTGTTTAGGATTGGGTTTCTAATTCCTTCTAAAGTCTTTTCATTCTCTTTCACTCTCAGTAGTCTCTTGCATCTTAGTGGCATCATCACCTTGCTTAGGGCAATGCCTTTTATTGTGTAACCCTCTAACTTGAGTGACTCATGGGCCTTGTATACAGTGAACATCATTTAAAAAAAAATGAGAATGGTAGACATAACAGTTAGAAAAATTTCATTTGTAACACATTTCACTGATGGATGAATGTCGTCATAGGAAAATGAAAATCTGCAAGACAAAACCAAACTCATATTAAATGATTGAATATCAATAATAGAAATTCAATTTTAACCAATTTCAGTTATGTAATTATATTTATTTATTCATGTATATTATTTTTTAGGGCTTAAGTAACCTGTATTAATCTGTGTTATGGTAATTTACCCACGTATGTATATTTATTGTGTAAAAAAAAACAATTATGGCACAAGGCTGAAATGGACTCTTCCAGCTATAAATAGGAGCAGGTACTGCCTTTTGGAGAGGGATATTTAGCTGTAACACTCTGTTTTGTATATGTTTGTATTACTGTTTCTGTTAATATATTTGTTTAACTCAATGTCTCTCTTGTGTCTTTACTTCTGGTCCTAACATGGCCACAACAATCTAGTAAGGACTTACAGCCATGTCAGTCTGAAACACGAGTTCTCATATGATTAGCAAAATTAAGCATAGTCAAACCTGGTCAGTACCTAGCTTGGAGGCCACTTGGGAATACCAGATGCTGTAAGTGTGGATGTGTGGATGGTGTAATGGATAATTGTTAATCAGAGAGCTAAGTTCCTATCCCAGCTGGGTTCATTATATTCACTTGAGCACAAATACCCTTGAGAATGGTATAAATCCACCTCTTCTTCTCTCCAGCTATGGGTTAATTAATAAGTGATATTTATTGTTTAATACAGAAATGTGGCACATGGCCGAAAAGAGGATTGGGGAAAGGACGGTCTTCTTCTGTCTTAACTATAATTTAGCTAGCCACAAACACTGACCCAATCATACAAACAATATTCCTTACACCAAAACAACACATTTATACGTACCTTTCTTACTACAACCACCATAATACGTCTTTGTCTCTATGAAAATACTAACTAGTCCCCATATTTACAATTCTGTGGGGGGAGGGGAATAAAACAACAATTCTAAAAACTAACCCCAATGCATATTTACAATATGAATACAAAAACTATTTACAAGAAACTAAAGAAAAATAAGATTAGTAATAAAAACCCCCACAATCACTAACTATGGCAGAAACATCAGTTCACTGGCCAAAATCAATGTGGGACTATAATAGTATAAAACATTCATTCATCCCAGGCACTCACACTGACATGCACTCATTCAAATACAACAACAAATACAAAAAACACTCACGCGAAACGAAAGGTGCCCCACATCCACCAGTGAACTGACATCACTGACCACCTGACGAGGGAAGGGATGGGGAATTAAACTTAAAGAAAAATAGGGACAGAAATAAGAGGGGCCAATGAGCATACATACCCTAGCTACGTTAACTGAAAAATGAAACTAAAGCAAATTAAACCTAGCCTAGCCTAGTTTCGGGATGGTTTGCACAAGTTCAACCCATGGGTTAATTAATAAGACATACCATAGTGATATAATACTTTGTTATTTTGTTTCAGCAAACAAACTCTTTCAATTTAACCATGAACCATTTGTTTGAGTTTATTAATTCTGTACATCATTTCGAAGACTTTTTTCGCTGTTTATCCAAGACAAATAATATTTCTTTCCTGTTTGTAGTTATGTTATGACCCTTTACATTATACCTAGAGTTATTTTTATGACTTTCATTTATTACTCAAAGTAGCATCAAAACCCTGCACTGTTGTAGCACTCCAAGGCCATAAAACCAACAATGACCTACCATGCTGTAGCAAACATAGTGAACCAGAACCTGAGTCGAATAGCAGAGATGGTGAACAAGACTTGCCTTATTATCAACAAAAGAGAGTTTGTCTTTGTCTGGCATGTAGGACTTCAATTTGAGAGAAGCTGAGTCCATCATTCTGTCAAATGAGACCCTTCTTTGTTGTCCCAGAAATTGGATCATTAGCAAATTTTTACAATATTAGCATAGTTGGACGGAATCGAGGAGGGTCATTCAAGTGTGTTAGTGCTCCATTTTAAGGTGCCTGTATGTCTAGGATGTTTATCATCCGGGTAAGTGTTTGGTGACTCGCAATTTTAAGTAGACCATCATGGAGAGGAGAGGCACCTTCTGTCGTGGTATGTTGTACAATACATGCAGTTGTCATACAACAAATGAACCAACAAAAGAACAGGGAAGAGAACAACGATAAATACCAAGATACAGGGAAGAGAACAACGATAAATACCAAGATACAGGGAAGAGAACAAAGATAAATACCAAGATACAGGGAAGAGAACAACGATAAATACCAAGATACAGGGAAGAGAACAACGATAAATACCAAGATACAGGGAAGAGAACAACGATAAATACCAAGATACAGGGAAGAGAACAACGATAAATACCAAGATACAGGGAAGAGAACAACGATAAATACCAAGATACAGGGAAGAGAACAACGATAAATACCAAGATACATGGAAGAGAACAACGATAAATACCAAGATACAGGGAAGAGAACAACGATAAATACCAAGAAACCAATGTAGAGGGAAGAAACACACAATCTGAAATTACGTCTCAAAACAGAGTCACTAATTTCTTTTGACCATACACTCCTAGGTGGGATGGGTGTGGGGGTCAGAAGAAGAAGATGAAGTAGTATACAGACCACTGACCACCAGCTGCCTATGATCACCAGCGATCACCAGCAACCAACTGACTCCTGCCAACCACATCTTCTACCAATCCACTTGGTGATCTAGGTTTCAATCCCTGCTGCTCATCATCTCATGGATCACCATAATTTCAACCTCCTACCCTTGACTAAGACTCCTTGCTAGTACCAGCTCAACATGCCGACAGCTTATGTCCCTTCCCTAACTGCCTATCATCCTTCAACACCTCTCAAACAGTTTCATCTTCTAGTTACCAACAGCCATCTGCTCAAGGCTATGACTGCCAGTTAGAACCAACCAACCACACCAACAAAAGAACCAACCTTCTGAACCACTAGAGTTGCTCTGGTCATCTTCAAATGTTCATATATCTAAGACCAACAATCAGCTACAAGTACAATCACCTAGGGCATTTGGAACATCTGGATTCTTTGATTGTATTTTACTTTTTTTTCTGCCAGTTTTAAATTATTGGCATATTTTATCGAAACTCCTTGTTCTCATCATCCTTGCCTTGGCCTGTGTCACTTCTTCAATTTTAATATTTGTGGGGTTAGTCTAAAATCAACATTCAGACCCCACAACAGACATATATCACTAAATCATTATCATATTAAAATATAAAAAAAAATTCTTACAATCAAAACTATTTTCTGGCTTCAAATAACCTGCAAAGCGTTGACAAACCATAGAAAACTTCTTTAGTAAGAACAGAGGATAAACTGAAATATATTAATCATAGCAGAATTGTAGATCATGGCAATTTCAATCAATCCTTGTCTGAGTAGATTATATTCAAATTTTATTAATTTTTTTAAAAACATTTAACCCCAAGTAAGGTAATAAAATTACTAAGATGTAAGAAGTTACTGAGTGTGAATTAATATGAGAAAAAAATAAAATTTTATTAAGATAAGTGAACAATAAAAGAACAGGAATTAAGAAGATAAAAGATGACGCATGACATTGCATTTAAATTTTTGAAGATCAAGGTTTACTGTAAAGCAGGAAGCCAGAAAAGAATTCTACAAGTGAGAAGAAACTGTTAGCATAGAACTTATGGTTACATCTAACCTTCTCAACTTTAAAATGATGAGATATTTCTGCCAATCTAGTAATGCACTTAAATTCATAAAGTCTATGAAGTATACAGAAAAGTTCATCAGAAAAATGAAACTATTTAGAGAAGAGTTACGAAGAAGCTACATTACAGCAGTGAGAAAGTGACTGAAGTCTCCTCATTGTTATCTAAAGCTTGGTAAATCATTAATAGCTTAGCAGTTGACCTAGAGAAGCAAAAGCCCAATTGCTTATCTGAAAGGAGACCCAGCAAGGTGAGATGCTTAACCAATTTAGTGTTGATTAGAGCCTCTAGTATGTGGCCAAAAACAGGTAGGCAGCTGATAGGCCAATAGTTAGAAGGATCAGATGGTTTTCTTAAATTCTTAAAGACTGGAACTACAGAAGATTTCCAACAAGCAGGAAAGCAAGAAGAGAGCAAGGTATTTATTGTAGATTTTAGCAAGAACAGGAGTCAGTTCAGGAGCACATTTCTTGAGGACTGTTGCAGTTGTTGATGTAGTTATTGCCCTTGTCTTTTGTTTGTTGTTTAATACCACCAGGTGGTGGCTTCTATAAAATGTTGGCAGCCATATTGAAAATGTTTCATTTGTTTAGTTGTCAATATTCAGACTAACAGGAGGATTATTTCATTGCAGATGCAATTGATTCAGTGAGGATAATCACAGTGGTACCACCAAAAGTCCACAGAATTGTGGGGATCCAGTTAAGAAATGATAGTAGAAATTATAGATGGAGTTATATGAATTTTAAGTGGAAAATCTGGCAAAAATACTCCAGGTGAATCAAGAGTAGAAATGAAAGAGAATTTAAATGGAAAACACTCTGCTTTATCCACAGATGTTAACACCTCAAATTGAGTGAAGTTAGTAGGGACAAAAGACTTACTCTTATTTAATACACTATTAGAGATTCACTAGTAGTCAAGAGAACCAAACATGTTAGAGGCTATATAGTACATTGTTCTATCAGCAAACAAAGACTCTTTGAGGACATATTTACAATTATTTCAAGCAGACATGAAGAGACAAATATTGTGATTGGAGATATAATCCTGGTATAACCAGAAAAAAATGATTCATGAAGCTATAGCTGCTGAACAAGCAGGTCTGAACCAAGTAGAAGATAGTGGTTTCACCTGCTATTTCTGAGAACTTACAAAAGCATTGATGCCAGCTTTAAACTAAGAACAAACCTCTGTGGCACAATTCTCAATAGAAATGTTAAGAATAACAATCTAAGGAATGTCTGCAAGAAAGTCACAAAATGAATCCTAGTTGTTATGCAAGTAACAGAAAAAAAGTCTTGTGAATAGGGTTTTTGTCGCTAATAGATGATTCAAAAGCAATATTAACAGATACAACTGTGTGAACCAATTCTCAAGAGTGTAGAGGTAAGGAACAAACAAGCATGTTGATCAAAATTATTAGGGAAACATATAGGGAAATCCACTATTTGACTGAGACTGAGCAACAGAAAATTTTAAAGTTTGAATACTAGCACCACCAATAATATTAGAAAGATTAATACACTTGCCATGAGGCACATTAAAATCAAAATATGTAAAAATGTTTGCATATAAATGTAGAGAGAGAGACATTTCCATACAGTCAGATATTTTGTTTAGTATTTTACAATCCTGCGAAGGGGAACAATAAACAAAAATAGATAGCTAATAGAGTGCAATAAAGAAAGTCGAAAGCACATGAAAAACTCATCTGATTCTGATATTGGTCTGATAAGACTAAACTGAAGTATCAGTTTTTGTGAAATAAAATTATTACCATGGGTTTCTAAAGTCTCCGCTTTCATAATCATATATATATATATATATATATATATATATATATATATATATATATATGTAACAACATATACTCATGTTGTTTCATTAAAGGTGAAAATTGATGTGTATAAGTCAGTAGAGCAACAACCTCTTGGCACTCCCACTTTTTTAAAAAACAACCAGAAGAAAAAGTTTAACAGACTGATCCAGGATATAAAAATGCCTCAAAGCACTCAGATGACTAGGATCAAATTATAGTATCGTTTCCAGCAGCCAGCTCCAGCTATTAGAAGCAGTTCTAACAAGCCAGTATCACCATCTACAGCTCCAGCTCACAATCAGCTGCTGCTCCAGCCATCTCCACCTCCTGCTACTCCTTCAATCATCCGATTCCAGCAAGGGTATACAATAACTGTCATTTTCAGGACGATGCTCCTCAGCAGCTATAAAACTGTCCTTTTCAGAACAACACTCCTCAGCAACTATAAAACTGTCCTTTTCAGGACAATGCTCCTCAGCAACTATAAAACTGTCCTTTTCAGGACAACAGTCCTCAGCAACTATAAAACTATCCTTTTCAGGACAACACTCCTCAGCAACTATAAAACTGTCCTTTTCAGGACAACAGTCCTCAGCAACTATAAAACTGTCCTTTTCAGGACAACGCTCCTCAGCAACTATAAAACTGTCCTTTTCAGGACAACACTCCTCGGCAACTATAAAACTTTCTTTTTCAGGACAATGCTCCTCAGCAACTATAAAACTTTCTTTTTCAGGACAATACTTTTTAATGACTACAAAATCTGTCCTCAGGAGAACCCTCTTCTCACCTTTACATTCTCCCCCTGACCATGCCAAGATATTTTTTATCTAGTGCACTGTAACCTTATTTTTATTGATGTATTTTCTTCGTTTTATTTGTTGTCGTCTTCTGTCATATATGTTTGTAGGCCAATATACCACCCACAACAATAGTATTATTATAACTTCTCTATGGTACAGAATTTTGGATTCTGTACTGATGACACATCAGTGAACTTGATGCCTTCCCCATGAATTGCCTATGTATGCTCTGCACTATAAAACTGAATGATCACATTAGAACTAGTGATGTTCTTAATAAATGCAGTATAACAGTTATTGAAGCCTTCCTAATGAAAATCCTCAGGTGGATAGGTGATCTTTCTTGGATGAGGAATAATAGACTTCCAAAATAATTTCTCTTTGGCCATCTTATAACAATCAGGTCAGTTGGAAGGCCACTCTTGCATGACAAAAACTCAAAGACAATCTGAAATCATGCAGCATCCCCTTTTTCTCCTGGGAAAATAAAGCATCTTAGCGAAGAAGCTGAGCGCCTATCCTACCTCTCATCTATACAAAGGTTTGAGTGAGGCCAACTTGAACATTGAAATAAACTTTGGGCAAATATTAAAAAAATTGGCAGCATGCTCCTCATCTCAATGATAGCCTTACCTGCCACTGTGGTTTTGTCACAGGCAGTAAAGCAGGCTTAGCTGCCAACTTGCAGAAACATGTGGCAGTTGATCCTCAATCATTCAAACAAGTTGGCTCAACCACATATTAGATCTGCTTAAAAGTTTGTAAAACACCTGCAGGCCTCCAAAGACACATGCATGTTCATAAAATTTTAAAAGTGGTTGTGAAAGAACTCTGTCCGTAACTTTACCTATGAACTCAGTCAAAAAATAAACCTCCATTCTTAGACGTTCTCGTAGAATACAGTAACAACACTTTTACCACCTTATTGTATAAAATACCTAGTAACAGAAACTCTTGCCACATTAACTTTAAGAGTGAATGCTGACTCAGATACAAAATAGCAATGATAAAAAACTTCCAAAAAGTGTACACCAGAATTCATCCTCTTGTCTACTCTTTCTTAAAGAACTCAACAATGCAAAACAAACACTAGTTAAAAATGGCTTTCCTAACCACCTTATCAGCTACCAACTTTGACTATTTCTTTCCAAAGTAAATAATAATAATGATAGCGAACACACAGTCAAAGTAGTCCCAACAATGTAAATAGTGTAAATAATTATAATACATTATCTCAGAAATATAGACAAAACATTTGAGAGTGTTCTCTAATTCAAAATTTTAAAAGTTAACCTTATTTTATTCTTCTGTGTATTATTTCTCTATACAAGGATACCATATAAAATTTTCACACCTGCCTTGATTAAGTTCCATCAAGAAAAAAACGAACTGATATAAAAATGTTTTCTTTTTATTTATACATGTACATAGACAAACACAAATATATATATATATATATATATATATATATATATATATATATATATATATGTTTCATTGAAAACTACAGGCAAGATTAAGCCTTTCATTTAATTTTTCTAGTGTTCGAACAAGTGTTTACTTTTCTGGACACAGAGTGTGTTGAAACTGTCCAAACTTCATAAACGGATCACACCAGAATTCATCTTTTCTACTACTTTTCCTTAAAGAACTCAATAATATAAAACAGACACTAATTAACAATGGCTTCCCTAACAATCTTATAGATCACCAAATTTGACTATTTCTCCCCAAAGTAAATAGCAATGATAGAGAACAGTCAAAAATTACATAAATATAAATATTTTCTACAAAAGTAAAATGCATGTCAACTACAAACAAGATGAATATTCACTTATAAATATTATTAATAAATACACAAGCCCAATTGACTGGAACAAAAAATTAAATTATCTACTGCAAAAAATAACTACTATCCTCAAAAATAACAACATACCATCAAAATCAAAATTACAATGAATGAACATTATCTATGAATTCAAATGCCCCTTAAGGATCTGTGTCCCTGATCAAACTGAATTCATAAATAATTACATCGGTCACACTACTACATACCTATCCATATGCCCTACATTACATCTATCTGACCACAGCTTCATTAGAACCCATTTAAACACACACAAATTTACCAGACTCCATCTAAAACATGCTAGTAGAAAATGCAAATATAATAATTTCAACCACCTGCAAAAAGATTAAAATAATGGAAGCCTTAATAATAATTAATTTCAGCTAAATTATTAACTATTATCGAGGATGTTTTTTGTTTAACTAGATACAATAAATTTATTTATTTTTCTTTTACAGTGAGCTTCACCCTATACAAGGGGGATGAAAAGATAGTGTTTTACATATAATATGGCGATTCTTCTGTTTTTCTGAGAAGACATATTTAGGATTCCAGATTCAAGCTGGTTGGATGTATTTCCTATAGCAAGAACATATTCTGCAAATGGGGAAATGGTAAGTCTTGGTTTTTTTTCCAATATGCAGACTGCTAGCTGGTGATATAATCTATAGGAAAATGTCATTATAGGCATGTAAGCTGCTCCACATAGCTGAGGCAGATTTAGCCCCATCCCATGCCAAGATGCTTGAGCTAAGAAAACCACTACTCTGTTTGATTCATTGAAGCTGATCGCCACATTTGTTACAATACACTAACACGACTGAGCGATCATCATGTGACCCACGTGACTTCATCTTGCCTTTTGTATCCCTATATCTTCTAATAAAGTTTCAGAAAAGTATATTTTTGAAAGATTTTTTTTAATAAAGAGAATTATGTTGTGTTGACAGATTTATCAATATAGATGATTTTAGTGATTTTACGGATATTAAAAGAAGATCATTCCATTCAATTTAAATTCTGTTTGAAATACAGCAAAGTATTTTGCTTTGTTAGAAATATTAAACTTAACATAGTGGCTTAGAATTAACACTAAAACAAAAACTTCAAGAACAATTTTTAATTTCTTAAAAGCATTTTAAACCGTAGGTATCACATTTTTTAGAGGTACCCATATATATGTATATATTATTATTATTTATTATCATCATTATTATTATTATCAATCTGATAAAATTATTCATTCTTAGTCCTAAAAATCTGTAAGTATGGTTTATTTTTCGATTGATGCCATTCTTTGACGAATTTCATCAGCAGTACATAAAAGTTCTGTTCTAAGCTGGGCATAGCCAATCCGAAGAAATTGGCACTGGATAATGTCTTAAAAAAGATTGTCTTCTCCAAGATTTGTTTAAAATGGCAACTCAGCTATATTCTTACCTGTCTTTGTGCTTCCATGCCTATCCATCTATTTGAAGCTAGTCCAAGTGATCAATATTTCAGTAAATCTATTCACGTCTTGATGGGTCTCTGTTTATATATGCTAGTTACCTCCCTTTCTCCCCCCCTCTCTCTCTCTCTCTCTTAATTCCCTTAGGCTTTTCTTTATCTACCTATGCCAATCTTTTCATATCTGTCTTGTTTTAAATGTTCCATTCACTTCTTCCTTCTCTTTTCCCTATCAAGTCATAAACTCTATCTATCTATCTATCTATCTATCTATCTATCTATCTATCTTAATTTGTTCATTATCTATTTATCTATCTGTCCCTCACCTGTCTCTGTTTAGATTTCACAAAATCTCTCTGGTGTATCATTTTGTCACCATCTATGTATATATGTATTTAATGTTTTCCCATATAGCTATTTCAACCTTTTAATATCTATCTATCTATCTATCTATCTATCTATCTATCTATCTATCTATCTATCTATTTTCAACCTCTTAATATCTATCTATCTATCTATCTATCTATCTATCTATCTATCTATCTATCTATCTCAGCCTGCTCATATCTATCTATCTATCTATCTATCTATCTATCTATTTCAACCTTTTAATATCTATCTATCTATCTATCTATCTATCTATCTATCTATCTATCTATCTATCTATCTATTTCAACCTCTTAATATCTATCTATCTATCTATCTATCTATCTATCTATCTATCTATCTATCTATCTATTTCAGCCTGCTCATATCTATCTATCTACCTATCTATCTATCTCAGCCTGCTCATATCTATCTATCTATCTATCTATCTATCTATCTATCTATCTATCTATCTATCTATCTATCTATTATGATAGTTCATGTCAGTTGCAGATTTCTTCATTATCTCGCTTGCTATATTTTAATCATTAAGCTAAGAATATAGAGAAATATCCTTAGATATTTATCTATCTATGATTATATATGCCCATATTGATATGTGTGTGTGTGTTTGTTTGTACGTATGTGTGTATCCTACAATCTTTATTCATATCTATTAATCTATCTATCTCTAGTTGCATTTATCCCACCATTTCCTTTCTCTCCGACTTTTTTAGTTACCGTCAATCTCTTCTGCTTCTCTTCGATAATTCTACCCATGTGCTAAGCCTGCACATGATTACTTTTCTCTGTTGTTTCTGTATCATTCGTACTAGACTTAAATTTATACCTCAGATATATTTTTAATCTTAATAACAATTTTGTCTTCAGCAGACCAATCTCTGCTTAAAAGTTAAAATAACTTCAGCTTCCTAAAGTCAAATTTGGCAGCAAAACTGCATCTCTGGAAATACATTATCTGTGACAAATAAACACTCTCTCATCAGTTTGCCTCTTGGAAACACTTTCACAAAGTTTAAAACAAGCCCATATTTTTGGAGTTTTCAGTGAGGAATATGTGCTGAAATTTTGAAATTATTCATTATTATTATGTACTAAGAGTAGAGCCCGGCGTTGCCCAGGGATGTAACAGTAAGAGATAGATCAAGTATCGACCATCATAAAGACTGAAAAATAAAATTGGCAAAGATTATTGTTTAAGGTTGACACGCATCTCTTAATTAGTTTTTTTTTTTTTTTTTATGAATTGATCAAACCTAAACTCAAACAAAAACATTGTTTTCAATCGTTATGAGTCTACAGATTGAATAGAATTTTATTATAAACAATTGTCCTGTAAATGGAATTTTTAAAGCATTCTGAATGTAAAAATAAAGAAAAAAGTGTGCAAGACACTAAGAAACACTACCTGCCAAAAAAAAAACTGAAGTTTTGTTGAAATTGGTAGAAAAATATAGGAAATCCGATCCCATATATAAATGAACACACACACACACACAAATAACCTGGGTTTTATAATAAGTATAACTCGATATGAGTTGTCCCCCTTTCATTCTCGTGATGCCTCTTAATCGTGTTTTCAAATTGATTTCGTGCAAAAACAATTGTGTTTTTCCCATTTTTGGCGCTGTTAGAACCACTGCAAGGTAATTTTACATAGTCCTGTGAAGTTTTGTTGAAATCGGTTGAAAAATGTAGGAAAGCCGATCCAATATATAAACGTACAGACACACACACACAATCTGCGTTTTATAATAAGTAAGATTTCAGACTCGTTTTTATATTCTTTGTCTCTTCTCATGAGATTTCAGCTGCCTTCTTTAGCTTTCCTCTCAAGGGTATAAATAACTTGTTCAGTAGACATGAAGGCTTTTTACTAAGTTATAGATACAGCTCCCTTTCTGGCTGCAGTAAATATATACAAATAGTGCGATGGATAAATTGTCGTATGAATTATGCAAAAATGAAACTAGCATTGACATTTCATTTTAACAGATATATTAACCAAAATTACACAAAAATATCTTGAAATACTAAAGAGTAAATTTATTCAATAAAATTAAGTTAACGAATACTGCCATGATATTTACCTTCAGTTTGCCTTTGGTGTTACAAAAAGATTTGTTGGTCTCTTGCTCATCTGTGCCCTACACTTGATAATCAAGGTGGTTGCAGTCTGGGGAGTCAGGTGTCCAGATATAAGGGATGATGAGGTCATAGAAATTGTCTAACAGCCATGACTGTGTTCTTCTGCTTGTCTGGCATAGTACAGAGTCCTGTTGCCAGTAAATTGCATTATGGTGGTCCTTTTCACACAGATGGTGCCCAACTGACCCTACTAAACTATGCAGTCAACAAAAAAAAAAACAAACAATGCATGTGCAAAAAATTAAAAATATAAAATAGTGACAATTTACCTATATATATAATATATATATATATATATATATATATATATATATATATATATATATATATATATATATATATATATATATATATATATATATATATATATATATATTTTATTACTTATGTGTGTATCACATTGGGTTAATTGTGTTCACATCAGGAGATCACCAGTGGGGATAAGGTGTTGGTATCATTTTCTTTAACTGGAAAATTTAAATAAAACAAACTGGAGCAAGTGTATATGCAAATATAATATATTTTTATTTATTTGCTTTGGAGTGAGTCCTTTGGTATTCAGTCTAGCAAAAAGTTTCTTAATTAGGCAGATATTGGTAGCAGTCTGGTAAAAAGTTCATTAGTAGTAGATGGAAGTCAGACCATGATAGGGATAGTAGTCATCTTAGAAATAGGTCAGTATCAAACTACTGTGTTTATCTTGGGCTTATAAATAGCAGATGAAGGGCACCTTGGTGTGGTGTAATGGTTAGCAAGCTTGTCTTGCTAGATCAGTTATTACTGAAAAGTGACTTTGATCCTCACTAGATGCCCCATACTTTCGGCTTTGTGCCACATCTAAGCTGGGCTTAGAAAATCACTATAAATAGCAGATGACCTCCTAACTGCTCCTTCACACATTATGCATGGCTGCTTTCTATGTGGTAGTGTCTCTGTTCTTTCTCTTGCCATTTCTGGTTTCTAGCTGAGAGGTGTCAGCTCATATACATTTTAAACATGCCCCAAGACTCTGGTGCAGACATTAATGCTTTTGATTGGTCAAAATTATTTTCTTTTCCAGTGTTCATTTCTTTTTCATTTTTTTTTTAACAGAATTTCTGTGTGGAGCCTCCTTGATTGTTGGTATTTTTTGTTTGCAAATAAGTAGGCTGCAATCCTCTGGCATTTTTCGGCCAGGTTCAGTTTTTTCTTTTTCTTCCTCTTTTTATTTGAGGGTTGCCTTCTCGTTAGTTGAGAGAGAAGTATATACAGAAAAAAAAGAGAGAGAGAAAGAAAGAGACAAGGGTTTTAAAGGAAAGTGCAAATGCCTTATTTTATTTTGAATTCTTTTTATTTTTGTTTGTAAATTTTATTTTTATAATTTATTTTTATTGGGATACACTACAAATTAAATAGCATATTTATTTATTTATTTCGACTGGTTTTAATATTCAAGAAATCTTTACACTATCCAGCAGGATTTGTCCCTGCATCCCTTAGGGCAAAGGAAGATACCATTTAGCCTGGCACACATTAATCAACATGGCCACAAAGAGCAGTAAGTCAGGTAAAGCCAAAATCTTTCTCATCATAGAATCTCTCAAAGTTTTTGATATCTGCACAGTTTTGTATTCAAACATAAACAAAAAGTATTTTAAAATGAATTTTCTTTATTAATCCAACAGATTTTTATCGCTTTACTTCTATTTTTAGTGGACATTCATACTTGAGTACACATTCGTTTCATTTATTAAACAGTATATTTATTTATTTTCTTCTACCAGCCTGAATGTTTGATAAATCTTATTAAAGAAAAATTTGCTATGCAAAATTAAGACTATCTACCAAAGGACCTAAAACCTTAGACAAAAAAAAATTTCAAACTATGAACAAAGAAAAAAGGTAAACACCTACCTCAGGATTAAATTGAGTTCAACACCATGGCTATCCTGACAGCAAAAATTGCTTCACAACATCAGCCCTCAACAAGGCACAGCTAAAGTCAGTAGTTATGATTTGTGCCTTCATGATCTTTATGTATGTGGGAAAATGATATATAAATTTTCATATATCAAGAAAAATTATAGGGAAAAAGCTATGAAAAAGTGAAAAAAGTTTTTGCATGAGTTTTTTTTTCTAAGCATTTCATCCCAAGCAAGGCAGGAGTGCCATTAGTACACAAGGAGCTACAGAGAGTGTAAGGAAGGAAAAAGACTGTGTATAGGGGCTGGATTTGAGGAAAAGAAAAAAAGAAGAAAGAGGAGGATAAAAGGAAGACAAGAGGATAAAAAGAAGAACAAGGAGGATGAAAAGAAAAAAGGGGTGGATAAAAAGAAGAACGGGAAGGATTAAAAGAAGAACGGGAAGAATAAAAAGAAGAATGGGAAGGATAAAAAGAAGAACGAGGAGGATAAAAAGAAGAACGGGAAGGATTAAAAGAAGAACGGTAAGGATAAAAAGAAGAACGGGAAGGATAAAGCGAAGAACAGGAAGGATTAAAAGAAGAACGGGGATCAAGGCAACAGGAGATGTCAATTGAAATTATTTTTAAATTTTTGATGATTATAGTTATCAGTGAAGTAAGTAAGAGAAAGTGAGTTCCATTGTCAGAAAGGAAGTGCAAAAGATGAATCTGTTGGAGTAAAAGAGGTATTTTCGAAACCAATGACTAGGTTAACTTTGCCAGCAATGCCAGATTTACTATTGAGACAGAAGTAAATGTTAGTGTTGTATGCGTTTGATGCCAAATTGAGAATTGATGACATCAGGAAGATCATTTATGAAGATGACAAATAGTGTAGGACCCACGATAGAGCTGGAGGAGAACCTGTTTATGACAACCTTCATTTAGACATGTTAGACAGGAATGATTGGATTAAATCAAATAATTTTCCTGTATACCATATCCCTGAAGCTTACATAGAAGTCCAGCATGCCAAAAACCTCTTAAATGCCTTCAATATATCTAGAGCAACAGCTCAAGCATCACCGTTGTTATCAAGAGCTTGGTATATATATTTAGTTATGGCTGTAAGCACTTCAACGGTAGACAGGGCAACACAGAAACTTCAAGTGATTTTTACTTTCATATGAAGACACATAAATTTTATTGGACTAAAATGTACAAAAATGCTGCAGCCATTAGCCTGCTACTACTTAAAGTTTCATGAATGCATAACCACACAAGTCAGCTGACTCTAGGTCACACCCATTAACAAACATTTCTGCACATGTAAATCTACATGACTATCAGTTATATGCAGTTAGATGGCAATAATAAATCATATAGAAAATGCTGTATATATATATATATATATATATATATATATATATATATGCATACATACATACATA